TGAAATAGTAATACAATAACGACAATTACATTTGTCGTTACCTCCTTGCCACACTAATAAGGCATATCAGGTGTAGTGGGTGGAGCTGAGGAAAGATAGGGACCCTTCATCAAGGGAGATCTTCAGGTTCTGACCAAAATCCCTTTATAACAACATACAAAATTTCTATCTTTAATACTTGAAAGTGCTTGAAACCCACATGTATTGGAGCACCAATGCTTGGGGACCTTGAGGAAAATGGGGCGGCAGGTCATGCTTCTTGTAGGTACTGAAGAGGTTTTACTGACCTCTGCAAGTTGTTCTCAGTGAACGAGAACAGAACTAACACAAATAGCTCATTCCCTGCCTCTGCAAGAGGTTTCTGTGCTCTAAGAAACTGTGCAGAGGCTTTACATGAAGCAGTGTGCAGTTTTCCTTGCTGTTTCCAGCTGTCGCTGTTACTATTTACCATATATATACTGCTAGGGGAAAAAAAATAAAAAGAATACTGGGAAATGGTGAATTTTTAAACTAGTAAATTTGAAAAGGAAAAAAAAATACTTCCTGATAATTCTAGCTAACTGATAAAATTACAAGCACATGTTTATACTAATAATTCCAGTACCTTCAAAATACTGGAAGTTAGTTACTTTTATTTCTTTACTGACACTGCAAGCATACGCTTTTTTAGGATGTATAAAGGTGGAAGCGTTGGTAAATTCCAATGAAATAAAGACCTTAAACGCTTTTAATCTTTATGGGCAAGTAAAGAACTTTTTATTGAAGTAGTGTTGCAACACAGTAAAGCAGTTTTCCTGAAAAGAAAATGATACTTGATTAGTCTTGACTAAAAAGCTGATAAAAATGGCACTTTTTTTAATGATATGAAAGAGGTAATAGTACTTTGGTCCTAGATTAAACATAACCTTGAGGAAAACAATAGTCTATTCTGTCTTTCCTGTTGTCAGCAGAACTTATTATCAAAATTTTAATTATGTAAGTTTTGGAACATATTTGGAACAAATCTAATTTGAAACTTTGATTTTAAGCTGCGTTTGTAGGACCTAGCAGTTTACTTATATGTTTGTAATTAACTGGAATTGAGGATATCTGTAAAGAATGAACCCTTTTAAAGACTTCTAAAAACACTTTCAAGTGTTTTCTTCCATGTCTGAGTTAATTTTAGCAGTGTTTCAGTCTATTAGATGTTTCAGTTCAACAGTTGGATTTGCTCTTTTTACTATACAAGAGGTGATGTTTTGATTTTTAAAGAGAATATTTTTGTAGGGTATTCTGCTTCAGCTTTTTGGGGGATCAAGAAAGGATTTTACTCACACAGGAAGAGGCAATTTCCGTGCCGAGATCAACATTCTTCTCTGCGGTGATCCTGGTACTAGTAAATCACAGCTGCTTCAGTATGTGTATAACCTTGTTCCTCGAGGCCAGTATACGTCTGGCAAAGGCTCAAGTGCAGTTGGTCTTACTGCGTATGTGATGAAGGATCCAGAAACACGGCAACTGGTTCTTCAGACAGGTGCTCTAGTACTTAGTGACAATGGCATTTGCTGCATCGATGAGTTTGATAAAATGAATGAAAGCACAAGATCAGTACTGCATGAAGTAATGGAACAACAGACTCTCTCTATTGCAAAGGTAAGTCTCTGTTTAATTCTAGGTTCTCTGCACTAAGCATGGTATATGCTAGGCAGCTGAAACCAAAAAGATACCAGAAGAACAAAGGATTACACTTTTCTGTTGTCAGTGGATCAATCCTAGATTATGTAACAACTCATTTACAAAAGAATACGTCTTTCGTAGCAAGCCGTGGTATTTCTGGATGTCTTTGTTCTTGCTTTGCTCTAAGAGGTTCTTGCAATGCTGTTTTTTTACTACAGAACCCATTTAATAACATCAGTGGTCTCATGAAGTTAGGGGGGGAAGTTTTGGTGGCACATTAGTTGCAGCTGGTTTCAGAAATGTTTTTCATTTTGACAGGCTGGAATTATTTGCCAACTGAATGCTCGTACGTCTATCCTAGCAGCAGCTAACCCTATAGAATCACAGTGGAATCCGAGAAAGACTACTATTGAAAATATCCAGCTTCCTCATACACTGTTGTCAAGGTATTCAACTCCCACTTGCATGCCTCATTTTTATGAGATGTTATACTTCCTCTTGTGAAAATGATTAAATATAGTAGAACAGAACAACTATGTTCTTTGTAGTGTAGTGCAAAACTTTTTTGTAGCATTTATTTTAAACGCTGTTCTTAAAACTTCTATGTGAGCAGAGACCTGCCTTCTAGTATTTACATATTGACCTTGAACAGAAGATCTGATGAGAGATCTGTAGGATCTTTTCATTTACTTCTATATTGCTTTTTTTCTGGTTTTTCACGATCATCTCCTAGAAAAGAGTTATTCTGAAACATATAGCGTTGATAACTTCAACGAAAACTTAGGATGTTTTTCTTAGCTCCTTAAAACTTTGAAAGTGAAAACTGATGATGAGGGAGCTCGCAGCAGAGGTGGTAGAATCTGAAGATCTGTGCCTGCTTCATGTTCTTCTGTAAAATTCAGCCAGGGAGGTGGCAGTGCTAGCCTTCTGGACGATAGCTGTTAGAGCGACATTTAGCATCTGCTGACCTAGAATTAAACTGTCTATGTGGTGCAGTTGCATCTTGTGAGGAATTCCCACACTAGCTGGAAATTTGAAGTACACTGGTATACTGGATGTTCTGAGGACGCCTACAGCTTAGATTTCAATTAAGAGCTGCTTAATTTAGCCATTTAGTGACAAATGGTACCTTAGTGGGGGTGTACTGAATGAAACTAAGTTTAAGTAGCATCTCAATTCCATCATTTATTGGATTTAAGCTTATGAAAATACACGATGGGCTAGCTAAACATGTCTGCCTATAGTTGAGCATAATTTAATGTGGTGTTTGTAAAAATTACAAAACGCTTTTTCAGGACTAAACCGCAAGTGCTTTTTTATTTATACATATATTTATTTACTTATGGTCTTCATATGCATAAAATAACTATATAGGTATGTGCCTTTCAGGGCAGTTTCTTTAGCAGCAAGTTTGTTCTGTGTATTTGGTATGTGTCTGGATTTTTTTTCTGTGGTTTCTGGTTGGTGGGGTTTTTGGTTTCTTTTTTTTTTTTTTTTAAGATAAACTGTTGGCCTTGAACATGGCATGTGAATTTTGCAGAATGTATCTTACTTTCAAAGTTTCAAGTCCAGAGGATGAAAGCAAATCCACTTTTCTGTACTTTTGGAATTCTAGAAAAATTATCTTTTCAGTTTAATAGAGCAACTCCTACTTAGAGTAGGAAGTAATAGTCAAATAACTCCTACCTCTACTTGTTAGGTCAAAAACCCTAAAACTACTTTAAATGGCAGGAAATTATACAAACTAATACTGCGTTCTTATCCTGTTCAGATTTGACTTGATCTTTTTAATGTTGGATCCACGTGATGAAGCTTATGACAGACGTCTTGCTCGCCATTTGGTTTCACTGTACTACCAAAGTGAAGAAAAGATGGAGGAGGAATACATGGACATGGCAGTACTGAGGGATTACATTGCATATGCTCGTAGTTATGTAAATCCTAGGTTAAGCGAAGAAGCAAGCCAAGCCCTTATTGAGGTAAAGGAGTTGCTGTTTATAATGTTCAGAGTCCTTACTGACTTGTCAAACATGGCAAAATCCCCTTGTATGTATGCTTCCTATTTATATATAACTTTTTCTACAAGACTCTTCAAACATCTCTAGAAATCACCAGCATTTATAAAGGAAAGAGGGCTCAGTATAAAAGTCATTCTGTGCTCTGATCGTTAGCTTTCAGATGTGTTGGTTTTGGTTCTATTACATTAATAAAAGCATAAAATTCTACTGAAATTAAATGTGTCAGTACAGACACAAGCCCTATTATGTAAGACTAGCCCTCAGTTTTTAAAGTGATCCAGAACTTGACTCGTTATCATGGCTTAATTGCTTCATGAAGGAAATGTGTATATGTGGTGTGGTTATCCTTCATTGCAGAGGAATTGTGAAGGTCTATGAGCAGAAACAGTGTTTGGAACAGATTGCCAGAATTGCTCATATTCTGAAATCAGAGGTGGGGGGTGAAGGGGACTCTAGAAGTAATAGAAATAACAGGATTTACTGAAATACTTAATGACTCTCTTCAGGCGTATGTGGACATGAGGAAGATTGGTAGTGGCAGGGGAATGGTTTCTGCGTATCCTCGACAACTTGAGTCTCTGATCCGACTGGCAGAAGCGCATGCTAAAGTACGCTTTTCTGAGAAAGTTGAAACAACTGATGTAGAAGAAGCAAAACGTCTCCATCGGGAAGCACTGAAACAGTCTGCTACTGATCCAAGGACTGGAATTGTGGACATATCCATTCTCACTACAGGTTTGTGTTTTCATAGTGATAAAGCTGGGATGCTATTGGGCTTTTGTAATTTTTAAATGTAACCTAACCTGTCTTCCTTAGTTTATTTCTAAAAGGTGTTTTCTTTCTTTTTGTAAGGAATGAGCACAACAGCTCGTAAGCGGAAAGAGGAGTTGGCTCAAGCCTTAAGGAAGCTTATCCAGTCAAAGGGTAAAACACCAGCTTTGAAATACCAACAGCTTTTTGATGATCTCCGAGCACAGTCTGATACAGTAAGTTTCCTGCTTTGTTTTTACCTTTTTCATTGATTTTAAAAGCGTGGTGTTTTTCCAAATCAACATTATCTTGTTCTCAAATCACGTTATGGAGGGAGACACTAACTTTTCAGCTGATAAGAGCAGAAAGCTGAGCTGAATCTTTGCTGTATCTTAGTTTGTTCTGGCTTCTGAAATAGCAAACTCGGCTTCAGGGTTCCAGGCCAGATTTCAAATTGTGAAAATAACATAAAGCTTAAAAAAACTGCTACAAAAATTGATAGGAAGTAAGGCATTTTTACAGTCTTATTAACCCCCTCCCCTGCCTGTCTTTACTTGATTTACTTTTTTTCTTTAAGGCTGTCACTAAGGAAATGTTTGAAGAAGCGCTTCGTGCCTTGGCTGATGAGGACTTCTTGACTGTGACTGGAAAGACCGTTAGACTGCTCTAAGTTAGCCTTTCCTTGCAAGCCAGCTGTCACGGCTTCACTTCGCCTTACTTAAGACAGTGTCAGTCTAAAAGATCTTCAAGATTTGGGACTATCATTTGCTATGACAAGCACAGCCTTTCCTTGCAAGCCCAACTGTCGTGGCTTTACCTCGCCTTACCTGCTACATTGCCAGTCTGCAAGATTTTCAAGATTTGGGACTACCGTTTGCTATGACAAGTGTAGCGATGATTAAGTGGCACTTCTGTCAGCACGAGAGATTACAAAGGACCTAAAACATCCGTAGCTGAATAATGTTATTTACATTTTAGCTAAATGTAATTACTAATATGTCAAGTGCCACATATTTTTATGAGGTGTTGTAGAACATGCTAATGATGTTGTATTTCAAATTGAATTGTAAAAATTCATCTTAAATGACTTTTTAGTAAATGCAATTTGACTATTAGTACTGCTGTAATCTGAAATAAAGTTATTGGACTTAGAAGGGCTCTCTAGCATTCATTTCAAGTGAAAATGAGCATATCCTGTGCTGAGCACTTTTCAATCTCGAGTTCTGCAATGTTAATGAAGCTATCTGTGAGAGCACGAAGGAGCTTTGTGCCTTTTTCTTTTTTTTAACTTGAGTGTACTTTGGTAGCATCCTTAATGTAAAAAAGGCAGGTCCATTCTACTTGAAACCAAATTTTCTTACTACACATTTAAGCATGACTGGATAAATTAAGTTACCCACCTTCAGTGTAATCTCATGTAATCAAAGTCCAGTAGTGCATGACTGGATAATCTTCCCTCATTGTAGGCAGGGCAGATGCTCTCAGCCACCGAGTGTCAATAGCTGCTATAGTTTTCACAGCTGAGCTAGCAGAAGAGTCCCCTAATTCACTTCAGTGCAGGCAGCACCAGGCTGATCGCAACTGCACACTTAGCCCTTTTAAGCTGAAATAAGTACTCCTGCTGTTTATGTGTAAAACAGATTTCAGTTCCCTTTCAATTTAAAATGACTCTTAATTCACCATCTTCTAGTTTTCTGGGGGTTTGTTGTTTTTTTTTTAAATAAAATGCTTATTAAGAAGTCCTGTATTTAGTGTGTACAGGGTTACTTGCAGAATAATCCCACTAGGTGGCTCTTAAAGCCTGTATGTAGTAGTTGATGGAGGCGATTTGTTTTCAGTCTGTAGTAGCTTTTTGTTTTTTTAACTAAGAAGGGCTGCAAATGCCACTGATACAGAATGGAAATACTTGTAAACAGTCTTTTGACTAAAAAAAAGTTATTAAAAAATCTTAACTATCCATATGCTAATTTAAAATGTACATAAAGCAAAATGAAAATTAAAGTATTTTACTTAGACTGAGAATATTTTCCTTACTCTATGCAACAGTCTCAAACTGTGTATCATAATTTACTGCTGTATTTACCCTATGCTGTTAGTAGTTATAATTAAATGACTTGAGTTTTTTTAAATGAGCTTAAAGACTAGAATATGCAACCAGGGGAAAGCACTCCTGCCAGAAACTTGATATTCTTAACATCGGAAATGACATAGAAGAAAGGCATTAAAGTCTTCTATACATTCTACAAAAGGCATAAAAAAAAGTTATAAACCTACTGGCAGAAATTATTTGTAGTAAGTCACTTTAAGAGACCATAGTTGAAATGATCTGCTATCTTGTCTAACACTATAAAGAGAAGCTGCTGGTGAAGTGAAACAAAATGGTACTCTTCTGTTTTCCTAGCACAGGATGCAATCACTGGGGTGGGCAGGGAACCGGTACAAGATAGACCAAAAAACGTCACTTGCTGCTACTGTTATTGCTGTAAAAGCTGGTATGTCATTTCTCCACAAGCACAGATCTGATTGGCAAGTGACTCAATCCTAATCCCAGCCGCGTCGCCAAAACTGTTGCTGCAAACCGGTCCATAAAACTTTCGAACACCAATTTGGTATTTAGAAAGTATGCATTCTTTATTGCAGTCCTGGATGCACAGGGGACGTCTCCACCTAGTGTGCATGCCATAGGTAATGCCAGCAAGGTATTTATCAAACTTAAAACACACATATTCATTAATTTTCCCACCGGAGCATGCGCTGTTTAATTCTGGGGATTCTTTCAGGGGTCCTTGGTGGTCGTTATCCTCAAATTTGAGCTGTCCGCTTGTTGACCTCGTTGAGGCAACTGGAGACTCCTCTTTCTCTTGTTTTACTTCATACAATTTAGCCCAATTCACAGCCTTTGGCATTGCATTTCAGATTCCATAAAGAACCCATTGCTGATATTGGGTCAGTAAACTCCTAGGACCAGAATAATTAGGATCCCATTTAGAGTCGATAGATGGAAACAGCTGCTCCACTGTCCCTTGTCCCTGTCCTGCAATCACCAGCGCCTCAACTTGCCTCCTTGCTGTTCGTAAAATCGTATCCTTTTCAGTACTATCAAACAGGATTCCCAAAATGACTTGCATATCTCCCCAATCAGGATCCCGAGTCTTTATTAGCATTTCAAAAACGCTGTCTACCTGCTCCAGATTTTCTCTATAACTCCTGGCAGCCTCTTTGCATTTTGTAAGATCAGTTATTGAAAATGGAACTTTTACTGTTACTGCCTGTCTTAGAGGAGCTTGAATTACTTCTCCTTGACATCCCCTTGTCCTCCCTTGTATTGGACTAAATCCTTCATTTCCCTTACTCCTTTGTACCATACCTGCACCTACTCCAGCCCCTTCTCGGTTTTCATTCTCCCTCAACGATTCTTCCCTTTGTCCCATTCTCCTCCAATAAATCCAAATCTTCCTCCTTTTCCTCTTCACATTTCAAACATCTCTGCCCAATACTACATGATGAACAACACCTTCTCAACCCCTTTCCAACTTTCTTATTCTCCTTTTCCAAAGCCATGGGATCCCTCGGAACTATTCCGCAATCCTTCTGCCACTGAGGGTGATCACGCGAAGTAAAGAACATATCAGCATATAACACTTCATCCCATTTTCCTTCCCTCCAAAGAAACAACACCAATTGCAATAAGGTGTTATAACTTAAAGTTCCATTTTTCGGCCACTTTTCTCCATCATCCAGCTTATATAGCGGCCACCATTGATTATAGTATGTAACTAAATCCCTCCTGGTAACTGTACCCGCCCCCCCAGCTGCCACCTACATCCTTCCAATGTTTCAATATACATCCTAGGGGGGATTTTTTCCGAATCCCCCCTTCCGCCGAGGGTTTATTACCCATCACAAAAACACAAGAGAGCGACACAAAAGCACAAAACAATAACTTAACACAGAGACACAAGGGCAATGACTTAACCCAAAATTTAGTGAGATTAAACCTAACCTTTTACAATATATTAATTCAGTCTTACCACAGCCAATTAAACCCGAATTTAATCCTGGGCATCCCCAGAGTTCTTAATCTGTGTTTGTGCATAAAATACCATATACCCGAAACTCAGGCACCCTACAGACTTTTGTCGTCTAGCAGGACTTTCCTCCATCTGCAAGTCCCTCCTTGGCCCAACCCTGCGAGGCTTTCACCTCGCCTGACAGGCAGGCAATCTCCTTTACCCGGTTGCAATCCCCAAAATTAAAGAATGCCTTTTACCTTCCGAAGGATCTTGCTTAGAGCTCTTCGGTCTGGGGATCAGAGGTTCTCCCTGAGAATTCCTTGTTGCTGGCTGGAGGTCCTGCAATCCCACGGATCCGTCGAGGTTCAGAAGCAGAGTCCCACCTGCGTCGCCAAAACTGTTGCCGCAAACCGGTTCATAAAACTTGCGAACACCAATTTGGCATTTAGAAAGTATGCGTTCTTTATTGCAGTGCTGGATGCACGGGGGATATCTCCACCTAGCGTGCATGCCGTAGGTCACACCAGCAAGGTATTTATCAAACTTAAAACACACATATTCATTAATTTTCCAATAAAAGTCATTAATATTACAATTATTTCCCAGAAACCATTAACATATTTCTCCTCCCACCGGAGCATGCACTGTTTAACTCTGGGGATTCTTTTGGGGGTCCTTGGTGGTCGTTATCCTCAAATTTGAGCTGTCCGCTTGTTGATCTCGTTGATTTTTTTCCACCTAATCATGCTGATTTGGCTGTTTCCTTTTGTTAAGAACACAGCTGACACTCCCCCATGTTCGGGGAGTTTCTTCTTTTAGGTTCAGACTCTTTATTAGCTTTGTTCTGAGCTCACTCTTTCATTCAGGCATTCCTTCTTATCTTATAGGCCTCTCCTCTGTCCTTGGTTTCTGCTGGCGTGCTGATTAACTTTCTTCCTAGCTCTACTCTGTCCTTGGTAGCTGTCAATTGTTGGTGATTAACTTCTTCTAAGCAATCCTTGGTGATTAACTTCTTTTCTGAATCCCACATGTAACAATTCCCCTCTCTGTGTCTTGTCTAATCTCCAATGAAGCTCTAAGGACATGATACAGGCAGATTTTTTTTTTCATTAATTGGGCATCTCCTTACAGTATCTTTCTAGGTAAACAGTCTTGGCAACATCTGCTTGGTTGACAGTTCCACTCATGTTCCATCACTGTGTAACACCTACATACCAGGATCACACAGTTCCTGTCACTTTTAAAAAATAATTGCCTCCATGACCCTTATTACAAGAGTCTCTCATGGAATCTACGTGATATATAAACACTCCAACCAAACTGAAATCAATATAAACAAATGAGTACAAAGTAAACATCATTATGGGCCTGATCCAGCTTCTCAGCAATACAAGGGCTAGCTGTAGAAACCCATGTAAATACTTCCTTATTCTTCTCAGCTTCCTCTCATTAATTGAAAAGAGCAGCCCCAGGCTGACCAGGAAGCTAAAGCAGGCTTAACACTGTTTTAATTGCAAATGTGAGAATGACCCCAATAGGTAAGCTATTTCCCCTGGGATAAACAAAAATGCTCCCAAGTGTCTGATACTGGTGATTTTTTCATAGCAAAATACAATGCTATGCAGACCTTCCTCAGCTGTACAAAGCAGCACAACTGCTTTATATGGCCTATTTTATCTAAGTGCAACAAGCAGGTTAGAATTCTTGCATAACCCTTTTGGCAAAACTTGAAGATGAATGTTACTGAGAAATAGTCCAAACTGTGTACTCTGCCTTCACTTCATGAGGAGGGAAAAACCAAATCAATCTATTCACTTATTTGAAGAGATCTTGG